AATATTTTATTACATATAGATTAACATGGGATGGAGACAGCATGCAGTCCTATCTTATCTCTCTGTGCACCTCGGACTAATCCAATATTTTCCCAGCTACTCTGACTGCTGCTTGTTGTTCATGATAATGCGATTCCATTAGATGCGTTGGGAATCCCATGCATCTCAGCATATGCCACAGTTTTTGTGTGTCTAATTTCTACAAGACATCATGCTTCAGCTGTTATGGCTGTTCCTAGAAATAAAGTTTGCTCGTCCGTCCGTTCGTTCGATTTGTCTGTCTGTCTTTCTGTCCGGCTGTCTGATCTATTCTCATCTAATCTGTCTGTGTCTGTCTGTTATCTGTCTGTCTGTTGTCTGTATGTCTTTTGTCTGTCTATCTGACAAAATATCTACCCGTCTGAAGAACCGAGGTACTTTGGTCCCAGGTCCGTGAAAGTACACGTTGACGATTACCACGGACAACAACGTCGACAATGTTATCAGCACCAAATTCAGACAGTAAAACGCTCCTGGAGAGAAAATCAACATAATTTTTAAACACAGTTACATACATCCATCTACATCCATCTACATACACTCATCTACATACATCTACATACACTCATCTACATACATCTACATACACTCATCTACGTACATCTACACACATGTACATACACTCATCTACGTACATCTACACACATGTACATACACTCATCTACGTACATCTACACACATGTACATACACTCATCTACGTACATCTACACACATGTACATACACTCATCTACGTACATCTACACACATGTACATACACTCATCTACGTACATCTACACACATGTACACACATACACTCATCTACGTACATCTACACACATGTACATACACTCATCTACGTACATCTACACACATGTACATACACTCATCTACGTACATCTACACACATGTACATACACTCATCTACGTACATCTACACACATGTACATACACTCATCTACGTACATCTACACACATGTACATACACTCATCTACGTACATCTACACACATGTACATACACTCATCTACGTACATCTACACACATGTACATACACTCATCTACGTACATCTACACACATGTACATACACTCATCTACGTACATCTACACACATGTACATACACTCATCTACGTACATCTACACACATGTACATACACATCATCATCATGTAAAATGTTCTCTGCATCTTACTTGTCATTACTCAGCAAATTCTTTATAGAACTTTACTTACCCATCATCAATCAGCAGATTCTTTATAGAACTTTACTTACCCATCATCAATCAGCAGATTCTTTATAGAACTTTACTTACCCATCATCAATCAGCAGATTCTTTATAGAACTTTACTTACCCATCATCAATCAGCAGATTCTTTATAGAACTTTACTTACCCATCATCAATCAGCAGATTCTTTATAGAACTTTACTTACCCATCATCAATCAGCAGATTCTTTATAGAACTTTACTACCCATCATCACTCAGCAGGTTTTTAAAATAGAAATTTAATTAAACATCATCAATCAGCAGATTCTTTATAGAACTTTACTTACCCATCATCAATCAGCAGATTCTTTATAGAACTTTACTTAACCATCATCAATCAGCAGATTCTTTATAGAACTTTACTTACCCATCATCAATCAGCAGATTCTTTATAGAACTTTACTACCCATCATCACTCAGCAGGTTTTTAAAATAGAAATTTAATTAAACATCATCAATCAGCAGATTCTTTATAGAACTTTACTTAAACATCATCAATCAGCAGGTTTTTAAAATAGAAATTTAATTAAACATCATCAATCAGCATATTCTTTATAGAACTTTACTTACCCATCATCAATCAGCAGATTCTTTATAGAACTTTACTTACCCATCATCAATCAGCAGATTCTTTATAGAACTTTACTTACCCATCATCAATCAGCAGATTCTTTATAGAACTTTACTACCCATCATCAATCAGCAGGTTTTTAAAATAGAAATTTAATTAAACATCATCAATCAGCAGATTCTTTATAGAACTTTACTTACACATCATCACTCAGCAGGTTTTTAAAATAGAAATTTAATTAAACATCATCAATCAGCAGATTCTTTATAGAACTTTACTTACACATCATCAATCAGCAGGTTTTTTAAATAGAAATTTAATTAAACATCATCAATCAGCAGATTCTTTATAGAATTTTACTTACCCAGCATCAATCAGCAGGTTTTTAAAATAGAAATTTATTTAAACATCATCAATCAGCAGATTCTTTATAGAACATTACTTACCCATCATCAATCAGCAGGTTTTTTAAATAACAATTTACTTACACTTCATCAATCGGCAGGTTCTTTATAGAACTTCACTTACACATCATCAATCAACAGGTTCTTTATAGAACTTTACTTACACATCATCAATCGGCAGGTTCTTTATAGAACTTTACTTACACATCATCAACCGGCAGGTTCTTTATAGAACTTTACTTACACATCATCAACCGGCAGGTTTTTTATAGAACTTTACTTACACATCATCGATCAGCAGGTTCTTTATAGAACTTAACTTACACATCATCAATCTGCAGGTTCTTTATAGAAAACTTACACATCATCAATCTGCAGGTTCTTTGTAGAACTTTACTTACACATCATCAATCTGCATGTTCTTTATAGAACATCGCTCTCATCAATGTTTACCTGAAAGTATCTCGGTATCTAGCCGATTATACAGTACTAGGTCTTTCACAGCCTAGAGAGTACATCTTGAATGTCTTGTATCCACCTTGGCGGAGATTTGCACCGTCTCTTTTTCCGACTCAGCCTAAAATGGGTACCAGGATGGCTGACCTGGGGAAGTAAAGACGACCGGCGTAATGCTGACCACATTACCCACCTAATGCGGAAAGTCTGTACAAATATGGGCTCTCTTTTCATATACACAGTACGCCTGAAGTTGTGAAAAGGGGTCTTTGCTTTTACTTTACTGTAAATGTTCTACTTAGAAACTCGCTTACCAATGAGTGGGATACTGGCAGCGGATGGGGGCGTGGAATCAGCCAGCAGAAGCAGTAGAACAAAGAACGCTACAAAGATATTCATACCTGTATTTTGGGAGGACAAGGGACAATTGGGGACGGGGGAAAAAGAATTAAATGTAGTCTGCTAGTTTAGTAATGCGGTTCAATTACAATAGTACCTAAGCTTACGAGTTGAGCTGAGTTGAGGTGATTCAAGAACCGATTCCACAACACTTGGGGCATTCCCATAAGTGCCCTGTCCCTATCTTCGACAGCCAGCGCATGATTCCAATACCAATGGTGACAGTAGCAATCTGCTTAAATATTCGTCTTACCTTTGCTCTGATCATCGAGTTTCGGCCACATAACCTAGTCATTCCTCGCTACATGACTTTCACCACAGTATGATGATCCATTTGCTCCTTTGAATTGTGCTCCTGCTCCTATAACGCTTTGAGCACCTATGCCATATTAGTATTCCACCAAGTTGTGCAGAGCCAGCTAGTCCGTAAGTCTGTTCATTTCACAACACACAGGCTTAACCAGGAGTGAAGATCTAAACAATGCTCCTCACCCGTGACCTTCGCAGCAAAGCATACCACTCTGCACGAAGCATGCCTGCCCTCACCTTCCTTATCATGCTTTCTGCGTCTGGTACAATCACAATGTGTATGTGTGTTTCTCGCGTTCCAGCGGACAGCTGCAGTGACCGCCTTCACCACAATTCTTTAGCTGGATATTGTGGTATCATATTATCGGCTTACGAACAACTCTACATACAAACGTTTTGAGATACAAACTTTTCGTATCGTATTTTGACCTCTAAATAGGAACCTATATTGGAGACAAGAACCATGATGCAGTCGCATTTATTTCGAATACGAGGTAGCGAGTTTGTGTCCAATGGAGGCTGCTTGTACATATTTTCTTTTGTGTGTGTATTTTTTTTTTTTAGATTAATTTTTTTTTTTTTTTTCAAATTCTGAGAATGGATTTTTGTTTTGTTTTAATCAGAATAGGAAATCTGGCTTCGAGATACAAGCTCTTTGAGAAAAAAATAAAAACCCTGAACAAATCAAGTTCGTAAGTCGAGGTACCATTGCATATTACAACTGTACTCCGTTTAATTCTCACTATTTTTAATTTGTTTACTATGAAATGCGTGCTGCCTAAAAAAAAAAAAAAAACGGTAGTACTCACTGTTTAAGAGGGTCAAACAAAATTGTTTTAGCACACATCCCCCCAAAAAAATTATAAACTAGACATTTCATGGCGACTATATTAGCCAGGCGGACACACATCCTGATATTTAAAACCTCCCTGTGCCTTCTAGAACGTCTTTCCGAACCTTCGACTAACCAGTATCTTATAGACCAATGTGTTCAGCTGTTTGGGGTCCTGTCTGACAGACAAACTGTAGGAACTACAGTCTTTATTTTATGCAGGTGGTAGTTGAGCCTGCACTGTCTTGTTGGTAGACGGAAAATTAATGTGTGTTATTTGTGTTGTTGATGTGTTCTCTGAAAATTTTTTTTAAATGAATGTTTTGATTTCTGATAAAGACAATGGATGGGTGTGTTGTTTCTCTTTTTGTTCCTTTCTTTGCAAGTCTGTCCGTCAACTCATTTCCTATTATACCGCAGTGAGCCGCGATCTTCCGGAGAACGATATGATTGTTTTTCTGAGAATCTGTTTAGCTGGCGGATCAGTTCTCTCTCCATGTTGTCTCATCAATCTATCCTTTGGACCGAAGCGAGCAACTAGCTCCCTCCCTGTCATGCATCATCACAAAGAAGTGGTAAATTCCCTTGCATACATCATCCTAAGAAAGTAATAAATACAGATGGAAGTGACAGGCGGAAAGAGATAACAATTTAAGCAGGAATGAAAAGCGGAAAGAGAAAAAAAAAACAATGCTCGCAGTCAAATAAGTTCCTCTAGAGACTAAAATATGCACATAAATCATAAGCTTGTAGCTGACTATTCATCTTACCAAGCTGCATCTTTGCTGGAGATTCTGGTGGCAACCAAAAGAGCACCACAGTCAGACTAGAGAGCAACACACATGGGAGGATGAGAATGTAGCTGTAGAAGGCAGCCTTTCGTCGAATGACCAGCGTGAAGTCAATGGTCACATAGTGCTCGGGACAGCAATCGTAGGTCTTGACTATTCTAGTGGCCCTTGACTCTACGATGTCCCACTCATTGCTGGGGGTATAGTGGAGCATGTCGAACCCAGAAGTATTGCTGGCGTGCTGTAT